CCGAGAGAAAACGAGCCGGAGCGGAGCCGAGCGGGGCCGAGTGGACCCGAGCGGGGCCGAGTAGAGCCGAATGCGCCGAGAGGGGCCGAGTCGAGTGGAGCCGAACTGAGCGAGCCCGAGCGGAGCCGAGCGGGGCCGAGCGGAGCCGAGCGGAGCCGAGCGGGGCGCAGCGGGGCCGGGCGGGAGCGCAGCGCCGCCCGCAGTGGGTCCCGGCATCGCCGCGTCCCCCCGGTAAGGAGGATGCTCGGGAAGGGGCGGGCCGGGGGGGAGGGGGCATCGCGCAGCCCCCGGGCAGGAGGATGGCGAGGCGGGCGCGGAAGGCGCCGGGGCCCGGCCCGGCCCGGCGGCGGCCGCGGGGGATGGAGCCTTCGGCGGGCTGCACCGGCGCCGCGCTCCTGCTCTGCTTCAGCTACGCCAGCCTGATGCCCGTGGAGGCCGGTAAGCGCCGCGCCGGTACCGGCTCCGGGGGGCACCGGGGGTTCTGCGCCGGGGAAGGAGCTTCCAGGTCGCTGGACGCGACTTTGTTGCCTGCGGCTGCCGGGAGCTGCCGGGTCTGGAAGCTCCGTCCTGCGGAGCCCGCGGTTTGTGGGAGCTGCTGGGCACTTGCCCATCAAGGCAGAGCCCCACGGGCTCCCACTTGGGCACCTCTGGAAGCAGCAGCTCCGGAATGTGGTGTGAAAGTGGCCCCTCGGGCGGGCACGGGCCGCTGGGCAGCCCTGGTGCCAGGAGGGCAAAGCCCCCTGGTCCCTGTGCCGGGAAGGCGAAGCGCCCTGGTCCCTGCGCCAGCTCCTGTTGGGTCCAGAGGCCCCACGGGAGCAGGATCGCCGGGGGTGCTCCCTTTGGCACTGCCAATCCCCATTCCCTGTCCCCCAGGGCTGCCAGGGCCACGGAGCTGGTGCGGCTGCCAAAGGCCTCGGGAGTTCAGCAGGATGAGCCTGGCCGTGCCGGGAATGTGTTGATTTTCTGGGACTGGGACCCACCAGGGCTAAACCCTGGTCCCTCCAGGCTGAGCTGCTCTGGGGACATCCCCCTTGTTGGATGAGGGTCCTCAGGGAGCCAATTCCTACAGGGAGCCAGGCAGGACACAGCGGATGCACCCACAGGTGCCGCCGCTCTGGCGCCGCTTCCCTCCGGCTGTGCCGAGCCCGGGCTCACTTGCGGGGCTGCGTGCGGCTGCGAGACGGCCTGGAACAGCTGCTGCCATTCCCAAAGCGCTGGCTGCCGGAATAGCTCGCGTTCCAGAGGGCTGGCGAGGGCTGCTCGCGCTGCACAGCCGGGGAGTGGGAATTCCTGCACACGGCCAGTTATCCCACCCATGTCGTGCCTGCAGTGGGGCGCAGACCCCTCAGTGCCTTTGGCTTTGACAGGTATGTCCTTGACCGGACACTGTGGTGCCAAAGTCACCATTTCGGATCCGGTGGTTATGGGACGATGGAATAAAATGTTCCTGAAAGAAGGGAACGATGGGGAAAACAGCCCCGTGCACGGGAGGCATGTGCCCCAGCAGCAGCCTCGCCAGGCCTCTGCAAACGAGGACGCTCGGCCCTGCTCTTCCTTATCCTTGAATCACCTCAGGCAGTAACTGAGAGTAAACACGGAGCCGCGTCCCTGCCCACGCTGCCGCTTGCTGCCGCTTCAGGCAGCGCCTGCACTGCCACGGGGCCGCGAGAGCTCCCTGCTCCGGCCATGCACACGGAGCAGCCGGAGCGGGAGCCCTGCTTCCCGCTCGGGAAGCGCCCTGACCTTGCTGCCCTGCCGCCCGGGGCTGCGGTGCCGCACGGAGGGCCCTGCTCACGCCCTGCGGCTGCCCTGGGATTCACTATGAACCTCCTCCCGGCTGCCCCGGACTCGCTCGGAGCCCGCTTCCATCCCGGGAGGTGGACGAGGGCATGGAGCGGTCCCCCAAGGTCACACACAGCCGGGGGTGCCCAGACCCACCAGTCTCGCTGTTCCTCCACATGCTGAGATCGCTGCTGCTGGAGACGGGGGAGGAATGGGTGCCAGGGGCTCCAAACTCCTCCGAGGGCCCGGGAAGGTGCTCTGGTAGCCTCAGCATCAGCCGGCAGTGCCTTAGTGAAGCCTCCAACTCCTCCCCGCTGCTGCCTGCCCAAGGGGAGCACCGAGAATAGTTCAGTTGTTTCGTTAGCAGATGCACAATGTAATTTAGTGTTGCGACGCGGGGCCCGCTCGCCCTTGCGTGGCTGCGGTGCAAGAGGGAGGGAGCTGTGCACAACGCGGGGCACGGGCTCCTTCTAAGGACCCCAAGAGCATTGGGGAGCCGTGCAAAAATGCTGAGACCTCGAATCAGGCCAAGATGTCCACAGCTTCCCAGGCAAGGAGTATCCCTGCAGCACCAAGCAACTTGAGTCCCATTTACTCCTGCAGGGTGGAAGGGAAAGTTCACCTCTGCACAGGCCCTTCCATGACCTCTTCCTGCAAGTCCCCGCTGCCTGGTGGGATCAGAGCCCGGAGGCAGCGACACGGGGCGCTCTGCCCACCAAGGCGGCAGCTCTTGCAGCTGCTCCCGGCCCGGCTCCCAAAGGCCACAGAGATTCCCGGCCAGCTGACTAGCGACATCAGCATCTTATCAACTTCTGCATTCAGCACAGGAGAGATTTAATTGCAATACAGAGGTTTCTAACCTCAGGGTCAGGCTCTCGGCAGGGAAGCTGCTGTGTGGAACAGCCAAGGTTGCGCGTTCCTGTTCCAAAGGCTCGCTCCTGCTGGGAATATCCATGGGAAAAGCAGAGCGCCCTCCCAGCGGGGGAAGAATTCACACTCAGGAACCGCACACAGGCACAGAGGGCAGAATGAAAAGCAGCTTTCCATGGACCCGTGCCCGCTTCTGGCGCTGAATGCGACTGAGGCCTTTCAGCACTTGCCGCTAAATAACCCCCTCCTGCTTTATAAAGTACCCTGAGGCCAAATTAAGACCTGATACAAGCATAATTCAGTTAAAAGCATAAATGTATTGAGCCCCGAGGCATGAAAATCTTTATGTGAGCAGTACAAATGCGATTGACGCAAGGGCAGGCGGCTCTCCAGAGGGAACTGGTGGCAAGTGGCCGGCCAGAAAGCTCCATGCTGCCTCTGACAACCTTGGCTTACACCTCTTATACCTCCTCGTTTGTACAGGGGAGTGGGTGGTCAGCAGGAAATAATTGACTCTTTCCCATGCTATAAAACCACCAGTGGGTCTTTCTGCTCTTGGGAATAGTCAGAGCTTAGCAAACAGCCCCGCTTCCCACGTGAGCGGGGAGGGCAGCAGTGGGTCCCTGCTGCCTCCCACTGCCCTGTGGGTTTTCTTCATTAAAACACTCGGGGGAGCTGCACGGTGCTCCAGCCCTCGCTAAATACCCCCGAAAGTTGACAAGCAATTACAGCCAGTGAAGAGCGCCCTGCTGGGAGAGCAAAGAAAGGCTCTGCAAGGCAGCAAAAGCAGCAGCAAAAGCAGCTCTTCCCACACTCACTGCTCTGCTGTGGAAGAGGAGGGCCCCGGGGCAGGCAGGACTGCGCAGCGGAGCCGTCACCACGCGGGACCTCAGCGGCTGCTCCTTCCCCTCGCAGGTCGTGTCCTTCCATCTCCTGCATGCACAGGGTGCACGAGAGCAACTGCGATTTAAGGGTGACAGTTCCTGCTCCCCCGGGAAAGGGCAAGCAGTTTGGAGGTGCTGCCAGGGTGCAGGATGGAAGGAGAGCGCTCAGTGAGCGCCCAGAAAGGCCTGGCAGGCACTTCGGGCGCTGCAGTTAACTGATTTGGAAAAGGCCGCGATTGCAGCGGAGCATCGCCCGCGGAGGAGGCGACTGCATTTTACTCCAGCCACTTTCAAGTACATTAGGCCCGCTGGCATTTTCCAGGAAAGCTGAACTTAAAGGGAGCAGATTTATGAGGAGGCTGGATCCCTTGGCTGCGGAGATAAACCTGGAGCCACACTCTGATAACAAATCTGTTGCCAGAGCAGATGAGTCTGCTATCAGAGCTGACCTCAAAAGGTGGGATATCAGCACAGCCTCTTCCTTTTCCTCTCTGTGGATGGTTCCGCTGGCAGCTTCCCTGGCAGGGGCAGCAGGTTGGTTCCCACCCCCAGGCACATCCTAAGAGCTCATGGATGGACAGTGGAAACTGCAAACTGAGAGGGGCCTCAAAGGGAGAGCTGAGCTGTCGGGATCCTTTCAACAGACCTTAAGGCAAGATGTCAGCTAACAGAGGGTCTCACGCTGGCTTTCCAGTGTCAATTTATAAGCTGTCTCTACTTAAAAGCATTAGGAAATTATAAAAGCCTAAAAGGCTGTACTTTGTGCTCTTTGTGATATTGAATACCTCTTTGAAGTTAGCTATATAGAGGCTGTTTGATATCCCTAAGTTTGCTAGACCAAAGCTATGGGCACACATAGTGCAGTGTGTAACGGTTTGGGCACACAGCATGAAAGGCAGCGGGCATGTGAGGAGCAGGAGCTGCACCCAGCAACGCTGGGTGCTGATTCCCTGGCACAGAGGGGTGCCTCTCACCCAGCCGTAGTGCCAGGGAAGGGCTCTGGCACTGGCCCAACGCGTGCCTGGCCGTTCCTCCCCACTTGCAGATGGGCCAGGAGGGCTCAGCCAAGGCGCCGGGCGGCAGCAGCTGCCACCAAGCTCTCAGAGCACTCTTCTGGCACCCCAGACACACTGTGGCACTGCTTGGGGACATACCTGCTCCCTTCTCTTCTCCCCTCCTCGTCCTGTCCACGCTCCAGCTCCAAAGATGAAGGCAACGCAAGGGGTGGGTGGGTGGCTTACCGTTCCTTGTGCTGGCAGCTGCTGCATCCACAATGAAAAGCCAGGGAGGAACGAGCCCAAAGCTGTAAAGTGGTTTTTTTCTCTCTTTTTTCTCAAATGAAAGTCCATTAATAATCATCAGAGCATTTAATGAGAGGCTAGAAGGAGTTCTCAGCATTAACAGGGGATTAAGGGTAATCTTCACCGCTTACGCCTCCTTGCTGTGTGGAAAAGGCCCTGACCTGCTCCTGCCAAAAGGGCTCAGGATGGGTAGGAGTGAGGCAGGGCTGGGACACACATTCCTGGGGGATGTAGGGCTGCAACTCACCTGATGAGAGGTCCCTGTGAAAAGAAAATGAGACATAGTTTAAACACAACCAGTTCTGAGGCACACATTGCCACTTAGAAATCACCATAGGTTTATCTTAATTAACGAAGCAGGGGGCTGCAAAATCTGCTGGCATGAAAAAGAGAGCAACTTTTCATGTCTGGATTTAAATTTGGCCAAACAGACCCTCTGCCAGTTTGCAAAGTGCAAGTTGTGCAGGCTGGCGTTGCAGCCCCTGAGCTGGGGTGAAACTAAACTGCTAAATCCCAAACCTTGCACCATATGGACTCCTTACAAACCAGACAGAAGATGTGCTGTCCTCAATACCTTTGGAGTAAATACACATGGGAATGGCTTCATGCACAGCATGTTCCTCACTGTCTTGCACCAAGAGAGGAATTGATTCCCTCTGGGGCCATCCCACCCTCTAGACCAGAGAACATCACAAGCTGCACTGGATGCTGTAGGCATCAAGGGAAAGTTTCCAGGGGTTGTTCAAGACTCTACAAGGAACCAAACCTTGGGATTTGGCACCTCAAGGCTCTGCTGGAGACACTGACCCCTTAGAACAAGCTGGGAAACAGAAATTATGTCTTCTCTACCTGAGCCCAGTCCAGCTGGCACTCCAAAGAACTGCAATTGGTCCAGGGAGCCAAAAGCAGCATGGAATATCTTGGAGCAGTGATTAGATTTTAGAAAGCCATGATCTCATCATGCATCTCCTGGGAGCTGAGAGAAAAGCATCCTCATGGATTACATTTTTGGTTCCAAATTACTCACTCAACTCTGGGAGCAGGGAACTCATTTTCCTGGCTTTGTACTTCTGTCAAACACTGCGCGTAATTCTCTTTTCGTACTGCTTTTATGCTGGTTTGACATCACTGATTTATGTGTAGCTACTCCTAATCTGTAGTAGTGAAGCAGAAACGCAGCCAGATCTGCTGTCCTAAATTTTGGCCTATTATCTGCTGACTTCAACTATCCCTGTGTCTCTCTCAGGTCTTACTATCAAGGAGGGAGTATTAAGTGCTCTTGTACATACTGAGCTCTCCCCATCCACTTTTGGAGGGTGCCACGTTGCAGGCTGCAGTATTTGGGCTGCAGCTTTGCGGGGTGCTTCCCTTCTACCTTGCAGCCCCCCAACCCTCTCGCCAGTTCCCAGAGAGGCTGTTTGTTCCCCTCCTCCAGCTCGATGTCCTTCCAACTCCCCTACATTTGAAATCATCAGAAAACTTTGGCGTTTCTTACACTGTGACTCCCTCAAGGTCACAAATTTAAAAAGGGACTCAGGTACCAACTGTGACGCATCGTACGTTCCCTTTTCCCAGCTCGATGCTCTTTCACTGATACCTTGCTCTCTGTTTCTGTGAGGTTAATTGGCAGGTTTTCAAAGGCCTCCTTGACCTAAGCTGGGTAAATCCATGGTGGCTTCTCCTAAAAATACCCACAAAAGACAACCACGCTGGGATTTAACTGTAAAATGATACTTTGAGAAGGGGGAAGTGCCTGGCTGCAGCTGGAGACTGTTTTGTCTCCTATCTCCCTATTCCGTCATGCCCTCCATGTGTTCTAGCCAGTTCATGAGGCATGACTCACAGAGCTTCCTGGTGCACATTCCCTTCTGCTGACTGCCCCTTCCTAAAATTAGACCTTACTCCGACCGGCACAAGGCTTCGGGCACAGGGACGCTGAGGAAGCGCAGCCCCAAATCCCTTCCCCGTGTCACAGCAGGGAGCGGAGTCCAAAAGGGACCAGTGTTCTGCGATAGGAAGGATGACCTCTGTCCTCAGCTTGTCCTTGGTCCTGCTGCTGCAGCAGACAGTGACCAGTGACACTGGCGGGGACAGGGGCTTATGTCCTCTTAAAGCTGGTCGAGGACCCACTGATTCATTTCTGCAAGGCAGCCTCCTAAGAGATTGCCTGGGGCAATAAATATTGCCTGGGGCAATAAATACTGACTTGATAACACACTTGAAAGGAGGATACCTCCATCTATGAAGTGCTGGAGCCCCTGGTTGATTGCTGCTCCTCCTGAACTCCCCAACTGCTGCAAACTGGATCTTTGACTGACCTTTCAGCTCACTGACTCGCTGGAATGAGTCTGGGGTCTGCAGGATTCATCCAGGTATCCTATTCCTAAGTGTTTCCCTACCAGATGGGTCTCCCATCTGGCAGCAAGGGGAGCCAGGCTCCGGGTGTTTTTTAGGGAGGACAGCAGGGAATAAAGTCATTAGAAACAGAATAGGACTGACCTTCTGCAGGGGAATTTTGTGCTTCCACATTCACCCCGTTCCCTCGGGAACATTCACCAGGAGCGCAGTCAGTTGTTAGGAGACACTTGACACTAGGGCTAGAATATTTTTGGCCACATCCAGGCAGCCGGGACTGACTATAAATCCCCCGGGTGTTACTGGAGACGGACAGAGATTCTTTTACTTTCGACCTCAGCCCAGCCCCAGGAGGGCCCTGTGATGCTTACAAGGCTATAAAAGTAGTATTATTTGATAAGCCAGAGGAAAAACACCCCCTTCTCATCCTATTTGTCTCCCTGGGGCACTATGAACCACAGCAGCCTAGTTAGGACCAAGAGTTAGAGATAACAAATTAAATTTTACCAGTGGGGAGGGAGCCGGAATCCAACCTGCTGCTCTTGACACTGGAAGGACTCTTCCCTCCAGGATGAGATTCCCAATGAGGGCGCAGGCCCACGGTCACCATGTCCAGCTCCCCTTGGCAAGGCTGGCAGCTCAGCCTTGTGGTTGGGAGCCAGTCGCCACACTCCTGAGCTGCAACCAGAGCCCTAAACGCAGCGCCTCATGTCACTGCGTCCCGCTAGCCCTCGTCACATCACGGCGGTGACAGTGCCGTTACAGCATGTTTATCTGCATGGCTTAAGGGGACAGTTGTTGAAGCTCGCTGACCACTTGGGAGCAGCCCATGAGCCCCACAAGCTGTATGCCCAAAATGTGCGAACTAAGTAATAAGCAAATCCTTGCCAGGCCAGCGGCCTCGCGGGCACCGCCTGCAGAATTCCATCAAACCAACAGGGAAGAAACAGAAACAATCCCTACTACACCCCAATTCCAAATGCCATCAAGGCTCGTCAATGCATCTGCCTTTCCCCACTTCCGAGGCACCGTGTGCCTCTCCCCAGCGGTCACCGTCACGCTGTGGCCAGTGACAACGTGGCACACGGCTGAGGATGACACGAGCGAGGGGCAGGGGCGCTGAGAGCAGAAGTTGCTCCTAGCAGTCAGCTATTTCACACCTTGAACACAACTTCACATTCCCAGCAGAGAGCCCTCAGGGCCTCACTGCTAATTAAAACCCATGGAGCTACGATTTGCATCCCCATGCCCAGAGCCACTTACAGGAAGGCCATTTGCTGCTCCCGGTTTCCCCTGCCTCGGACCTCAGCTAAATCCCATCTCCTTTTGGCAAGCTGCTTCCCTGTGCGCCTCGGTAAAGCCTCTGCTCTCCCTCCTTGCAGACGGCCCCTCGGCTCCAGTAAACGTCACCGTCAAACACCTGAAAGCCAACTCGGCCGTCGTGACATGGGATGTTCTGGAGGACGAAGTTGTCATTGGATTTGCCATTTCCCAACAGGTAGGGTGCCTGCGGTCACTCACATCCCCTTGCGCTCATCTCCACCCCGGGCTGCCCCTTCCCACGTGCTCTTCCTGCAGTTTAAGGCCCTTCCTTCTGCCCTGTCCCCCACGGTCTGGAAGGGAGCTTGCTCCCCGGCCTCTTTGCAGCAGCCCCTTCACCTGCAGAGAGGAAAGGGTCCGGCTGTGGTGGACAGGGTAGGACTCGTCAGCCTTAGGTCACGGTGGCGCACGCGGGAGGCCGCTCCGCCACTCCGTGCTCTCCCCTCTCGGCTTCCAGAAGAAGGATGTGCGGATGCTGCGCTTCATCCAGGAGGTGAACACCACCACCCGCTCCTGCGCCCTCTGGGACCTAGAGGAGGACACTGAGTACATAGTGCACGTGCAGGCCATCAGCATCCAAGGGCAGAGCCCGGCCAGCGAGCCAGTCCTCTTCAAGACACCCAGGGAAGCGGAGAAACTGGCTTCTAAAAATAAAGGCAAGTGGGGGTGAGTTGCCACGGGGCCCCGCGAAGCCAGCGGAGGGTTCACAGTATCCCACGCAGGGTTGAACACAGACAGGGCCACATCCCGGTCAGGGCCCTGCTGCTCCGGGTGGATGGGGGCGAAGCTCCGAGGAGATGCAGGGGTCACCAGTGCCCTGGGCCGAGCGCTTGCAGGGGCTGGGGTGGCTCAGGGCGCCCGCGGCACCGCCACGCTCAGGGGAGCCCCTCAGCACCCAACAGCCCACGCGATACTAAGACTAATACTGAGACCAGGATGCTCCCATGGGTCACGACCACTATCATGTCAACCAGGCAGGGGCCCCAGCAAAACAGTGCTAGCAGCTCAGCAGCCACTGCTGCAAAGCGTGGGGCTCCTCCCTCCCCTGTTTTGGTTGATGCAACAGGTACAAGGGTGAGGAGCTGCACGGCCTGGAGCTGTGTCCAGCATCCTTGCAAAGGGGACATTCCCGAGCAGTCTGTGCTGGCAGGACACACAGAGGGACCGTGCCTCCTGCACATGCATTGCTGCAGAGCAGGGAAAAAGATACCCAGAAATTCCCACCTTTCTTAGAATCCAGATGTTTCTGTGAAATCAGGTACCTCCTGACTGGGAAAGCCGCAGGGAACACAGGCATCTGGGACACAAAGGGTTACTCTGCTTCCCAAAGGCCCCAGCCTGTTGCAGGGCTTTTGGCCCCGGTTCTGTGAGATTTTTACTCTTTCTGCTAAACTGATTTGGTGCTTTCTGTAAATACTGAACGGCTGCTTATTTGAATGCACTAAGAGGAGCCTGGCTTCCCTCTTCCAGGGAAGAGCACAGGGCAACCAAGGGGCAGGGACGTGCTCTTTGCCAGCTCTGACCCCGGTGCACTGATGATTCAAGTCGAGGGCGCTGTTAAACTCGTGCCCAGTGCAGCCTCACCGAGCCCCGCGGTTCCATTTCGTGATCTCTCTTTCCCCTTGTGCAGATGAGGTGACAATGAAGGAGATGGCGAAGAAAAACCAGCAGCTGCGAGCAGGGGAAATTCTCATCATTGTTGTGGTGTTGTTTATGTGGGCAGGTCAGTTCAATCTCTCTGTCAAAGCACCTACCACCCCATGGGCCCGCTTGCTTGCTTGGTTTGCATGTGTAATCACCTAAAACCTGACAAGAAATCCTTCCTCCCAGAAACCATGCCACACGCTCAGCTGTAAGGTACTAACACCCCCGTAACACCCACTACATTTCACTAAAACCTACACTAACCCAGCTCTAACAAACCAACCATCAAACAAATATGCTCCTTCAATACAAAAACCCTTCGCTACAACTATAAATAAAAGGTCCAAAGAGAAGCAAACATTTTCTGGCATGAGTTCAGCCCCACATTTCAATAGGCCCTTACACCAAACCGTAAGTAGGAGAGATCTGGTTCGGGCACGTTCAGCTAGCAAATGCCAAGAGGAAAATGCCCGAGTTCTGCTCTGCCCACTGACAGTACCTGGGGTGGCTACAGCCTGTTCAGGCTGGACACTCTCTGCATGAGTTAACAGGAAATAAAGTTTGCACTTGCCTGTTTTCTATTTAGAGCCCCAGCCTCCCCTGGCTGCCGCTCAGCTGCTGCTCCTGCTGCAGTGTAAAACATTAATGAGCACGCGAGGCAGCTGCTCCCCGTGAGCCAGACCAGGCTGCCCATCACAGAAATGGTCCCGGTGACCCTAGGAGCCTGGCAGGCAGACAAGCGAGTGCTCTGGTAAATCCCATAACCCACAAAAGGCAAGCTTTGCGGGTCAATATTTACTCCCCTGGTACCAGCCAAACCAGTTTTCCCACACACAGAATGCATTAACAGTCATACAGAAACATTCTCCTCAGTTGGAATTATTGCTAACCACGATATCAAAACCAAAGCTTAAATTACAGATACGAGGTGTCCAAAGCTGCCAGTTCTCAGCCTTTTTGATGCTCGTGTCAAGTTTAGCTCTGCCTGTTCAAATTTCAATGTCCTGCCTTTAAAAACTATCACGAATAGTTACACAAAGCAAGTGAACAAGCAAAACCTTCGATCAGTGTCTGAGCACAGAGCTGCTAACACCGCAATTTCTTTTCTAGGTGGATGATGTATTTAGGAAGGAAAGTGGGTGGGGGAAAAATGCATCTACACCTCTAGGACTTTTTTTTACAAAGTTTCAGTAAACAAACAACTTTTTCCAGCCTTTAATCTGTCCTGGTGACCTCAATCTGCAATAATTTTCACAAATGCCGGCTGCACGCGGCCCACGCACGCCCCAAACTCAGCCCCCCAGGCTCTCATGCTGACCCCCCTTCCAATATCACTCGGTTTTGCTTCTCTGCGCCTCAGTTTCTCCATCAGAAATGACATCTGATGATGGCAGACATTAACTTATTCTCCGAGGAGCAGCCATTTGCTCCAAGGCACAAGGACAAATTGGGACCACTACATTTATCAGTAACACCTGGGGACTGCTGCCGTGACACCACCTCACTTATATAAGGCATTTTGTGAGGAACTGAGGAAAGCTCTACATAGGTTCTGCTGTTAGGGGAGCTGGAATATTTTCCAGTACGGGAGAAGCAGTGTCTGTCCAGCCCTACTTTAACACTGTGCTTGGAAGCTGCAGGTAGAGAAGCTATTTGGTCAAAATGTCACATAAAAGCTTCTCAGAAAGACGTATTCAGTCTTCTTATTCATCATGGCAGTACCTGCTTTGCTCTTCATGGGCCTCTGCATGTGTGGGAGGAAATTTCCACTGGCAGCTTTTGCTGTCGTCACTGCTGCCTATTTACAGATGTTGCCCTGCTGCTCCAGAGCCCCTGGCGTGTTCCCTTTGCAGGCAGGTGCAGAACCTGCCTCTCACCTCCCAGCTTCAGCTCCTCTGCTTCGTCTCGGAGCAGGAAAATCAGAAGACACATTTCCACTAGCCAGAAATACCAGGAGCTCCTGTGTCTGCAGAGCAAAGATCCCATTTAACCCCTCGGCTAGCGCTAACGCGTATCCGAATGTGGTCTCGAAAACACTTGTCCCATATAATGGCAGGGAAGTTGGAATATAATTAATCTTCTGACCTAACTGGTCGAATGTGGAATTTGGCACTGAGAATCAAACAGCCAGATGACTGAGTGGCTGTGTTAGAAAGAGATCCTTAGGAGTAATTGTGGATGCTGCTGAGGTCTCTGCCAAGCTGGCAAGCCAGGGATCTGTGATCACCGCAGGCTCTGGAGCCCAGCTCGTGTGTGTGACCGCTACTGTTTTTCCTGCTAGGCGTCATCGCCCTCTTTTGCAGACAGTACGATATCATCAAAGATAACGAGCCTAATAACAGCAAGGAGAAAGCCAAGAGCGCCTCAGAGAACAGCACCCCCGAGCACCAGAGCGGAGGGCTGCTCCGCAGCAAGGTGAGACGCGGTGGGGACACGGTGGTTGAGCCACCTCTGGCTCAGCCTTGCCTGCGTTACCCAAAAAGCAGCTTCTGTTCCACCTCCTAGCTGCTCAACCTCCTTCTCCACAGCTCCACGAGCAGCCTGAGCCTCCCAGGCATGTAAAGACACCAGCGTTTTCCTCCCAGCTTGGGGTTACTCTGTCTCCACCAGTAAAATAGAGATTTCGATCCACACGATGAGGCTGCTGCTGTAGCCACAGCTTAGTCTCATTTCTGGCCCTTTTTCATTAGCCTGAGGGGGTAGGCACAATTTTATAAAACCCAAATCCTCCAGCTCATTGCACTGATCTCCGATGTTTCCTTCTTTTCTCCCTAGTGATGCCTATACATTCTCTCTTCCTTTGTCTCCTCTTCTAGTTTCCCAAAAACAAGCCCTCAGTGAACATCATCGAAGCGTGACAGCCCTACCCGCTGATCGATGGACTCCATTCCTCACTCTCGCTTTCTGCCTCTGAGCCTGGATGACTAAGGGAGGTGAAATACTGTTGGAGCAATCTGGAAAGAGACCTCACGATTGCCACTTGCTGGCACGAACCTCCTCGTCTTTATCCTGTGCAAAGCATCTGGCCAGAAGGAAAAAGCCTGCAAAAAGAAACCCAAAAACACAAAAGACACAAAAATAAGACACCCCTAAATGCAAATAAATAATTAAGATGGAAAAGCGTCGCTGAGACAGCTGCTGCCAGTGATCCTTGTACTGGACTCGCGAATCACCTCGGCTGGAGCGACTTCTCACTCCTTTCCACCCTCACACTCCATCTTCGGGAACAATTTTCCCAGCTTTGGAAAAGTACTTCCAATACGGTTTGTGTCTTGATTTTGTCTCACTGTCACTCCATCTTGACAGTAGGTTAACATGAGCTCAGGCATCAGTCACTGTCACTCCTCTTCAAGCAGGCAAGAAAAGCTCATCGCAGACACGAGGAGCAGCCGGATCTCGGCCGCTCCGTGCTCTTGCTTGCTTTGTGCCATCAATGTGCGTTGTGTAACAAGTCTTGTGGACGGATTTTTAAACAAAAAAAAATGAGGAAAAAACAGAGGCATACCCCAGTTTCCACCTAAACGCAGGAACTTTGCTGGTTGTTCTCCAGTCAGGCTGCAGCACACAACTCCACTGTTGTTCTCTCCTGTCTTGCACCGGTGGGATTTCACCTCGGACGGTCAGGGCACTCCAGACACTGAGAACCTAACGTGATAGGACACCTGAAGCTGCTGTTTTGCTTCCAGGATAACTTGGAGCATTTTCCTCATGGTATTTTTAGCTGGGCCCAAGTTCACCGACAGTGTGATAAGAGGTCCATTCATGTAGCCAGTCAGCAAAAAAAAAAAAAAAGGGGCAGGGGAGTGAAAAAAAACTCGTGATATCGATTGCTATGCAAGGTCTCCAGGGGCGATAGCTGTTTATTGCAAAAGACTTGCCTAAAGGGCCTTTTTTGAGGGCTTAAGTTCCTAACAAGTTGCTTCTTTTAGCAGGGCTCCCCTGGGAAGGTCTGGTTCTCCTTACACGTCTCACCTGCACTATTTTCCCGTGACGTTGTAATGCCAGGTACTCCGTTCCGAGTGGGTCCTCCAGTAAAAGAAGGATGACAAGTGGGAAGGGGATGGGGTTCTCCTCTCTCTTTAATAAGTGCCAATGTTCGTAAGCTGACAGGATCCCTGGGACTGCTGGTGCTCTGGAAGATGGTAGATGCAAGTCCTTCAGACGGAAAAAGACTTATTCTTTGTAGTGTGCCACGGGGTATCTGTATTTAATTACTCCACGAGACCACTCTGTACACACTAAGGAATGAGGCAAGATCCTATTTCTTCCATCAAATACCAAGAGATTAGCCTGAGCAGGACTCAAATCTCATGACAACTAACTTGCACTCCCATAAGCCTGGTTGAAGAGTCAAAGAAAAGAAACAGGTTGGTGCTTCAGCCACCTCCCCACTTCCACAGCCACCAGCCTTTCCAAAACAGCTTTTCTGGGAGAAATGCACTGGGAAGTCTGCTTGCGGATCAAATGCAGTGTGCAAACAGGCAAGATCTTCCCAAGAGCCGGTTCCAGAAGGCAGGCCAACCCCCAAGAAAAATCACCGGATCCTTTGCCAGAAACTATTTCTCCATCGCCAAGAGGGAGAGGTCAACATCTCGGATACAGATAGAGCAATAAACATTTTATAATGTACAATAAAAGACTAAAGACATTATCCTGTGTCCTTGTAACATCAATTTAGTACTAGTTCATCTTCATCCGTCTTGAACGGAATGCAGGCAGTGGAATAGGGGGGCTTTTCTCTGGGGATCCCAGGGCCTCTGCCCAACTGTTTTCTCTGTTTTCCTACATGCAGGAGCAGAGAGATTTACCAGAGTTCACTGTGGGATGAGGCTGGCAACATAAATAGCAGCACAGCCCTACCTAGCAAGCTTCTTCAGACACGTCTGTTCTCTCCTAAGAAAGAAACGGCATTTGGAATCCACAGTGCTATAAAGGGAGGTTTGGGACAGATGGTGCAGCATGTGCACAACAATAAGGGAGATGCTCTCTCAGAAGCCCAAAGCAGACAGCCAAGCAAGCAGCCCTCGGCAGCCTGCTAGTAAGGAAATCCAGCCTGGCTAATTTGGCATGGGTGTTTGTGTGTGCACACGCATGTGCATGTGTGTTTACAAAGGAGGTTTTCCCTGGAAATTCAGACTATAGTCCATTTTTTACAGGAGTTTCTGTTGCTCCCTAGCGACAGATGTAAACCATTTCTCTCCTGACAGAGACATGCTCACTCCTTGAGTGCGGGAAAGAAAAATTAAAGGTATAAAGCATTAATGTTTGCTCAGAATTCAGTACTCACACCACGATGCAGCAGGAGGTAAAAGGCTTATCATTACATTCCATATCTACAGGCTTTAAAGGCAAGATAATAACGCTATTAGTGAAAAGAAACAAATGTAGCTTGGCAGTAAATTAGAGAAGGCTTCCAAGCTATCAAATGCAAGCAATTCTCTTAAAGGATATGTTCAGCAACCATAATTCCAAGTTATGTAATAAGTTTACACTTCAGGAAAAATTCTCTCTCTCTCTCGGAGATGAAAGAGTCCTAGTGAGAGTCACCTTAAGAAAGGTGACTTAAGATGTTATTTTCTAAGGGTCATAGGCATCAACAACTGTAACTGGTGTTTAGATATCAGCTTCCACTAACTCATGGGAGTCAGACACCACTAAGGTTTTTGGGCATGACTTGAAGCCCAAGCCCATCTTCAGAAGAGATCCCCAATTCTCATCAGGGTTTGCCTAAAGATCCTCCTTTTGAGAAGACTCACAGTTTTTGGTCAATATCAGGGGGGAAAAAAGTCAAGAAAGAAAGAGTACTGAGGAAAAAAACCTCACGTTGAGTCAGAAAAGACCTCGCCCCAAAGGCCACTCACAGTTCCCTGAACATTGTCCGACTGAAGGTTACTGGAAGCAGGGCCTAGAAAAAAAGTGGTTTTAAAGAATACTAAAAAGAAGCAGGTGGGAGTAAATTTGCACCACAGGGATTCCAGGCAGCCCTGCACAAACCCACTTCCCATTGAACTCGAAATCCAAGGAAAGAAGCCTCCAGCCAGCATTGCTGATGTCATGCAGCCCCTGGGGACCCATCCTGCTGATTTTCAGGAACAAATTGAGCAGAGACTAGGAACACAATAAGGAGCAGGAAGCAGAAAACAGCCCCCTTTGCCAACAGATGCAGTGCATATTTAAAGTTAAGCACCACTTGCCTCCATCCTTTCAAGCCCCATAATCTTATGCCTACACGCACGATTTAGCCAATATATTCCTCCCCCACAAGTTTAGGGAAACTGAACCACAGGAGGCGGTGTAGAGCAAACAATCCTGCACAGCGTGTCCTTCCAATTCCCAACACAGTGCCACACATTCCCCGACACCTCCCTCTGCACAAGAGGAACCAGAGCAAACTCAGCTCCCCGTCTCCTTGGGGGAAAAGGAGAACATTAGGCATTTTATCCACTGACAGTTCAGTGGCGTGGAGGAGAACACACCTACACCGCAGAAAGCATGAGGATAATCTCAGCTGCTAACGACTTTCTGGAGGAGATGTTAATGGGGGAACAGCCTCCTAATGCCAGAGACATTAAAGGTTGCATCACTTCAAAGCTCTATCACAGCCACACGCCCCTTCCACTGACAGAAACATGGCAATTCATTGACTCAGTAGACAGACTTCACTCCCCAATAAGGACAGAGTTGAAGATTATACCATATGTTATGCCAAATTTAATGTCCCTTGATCAAAAAAAAAAAAGCTTCCTAGCTACATTTAATGAGAGATTATTGCCTAGTGCAAAAGAAGGAGCCTAACAAGCAGGCAAACTGACCAAATTCAATCAGTTCTCTAGCATTTAGTAAAAAGTGTTATGGCCAACATGCTTGTTATGCTACAGTTCCTTCTGTTTTCTCGACAAATCTGCTGTCTATTAAATCACTTGATGATCCTATAGATTAAAGCAATTATGTTCCTACTTGTTAGTGCTCTTAGCCCACACGTCTCGGGGAGACGGAGCTGGATTCTATTTCAGCTCATGCATCAGCATTAATTTTGTTTAACTAAGTTCCAAATGAAGAACCTTTATTATTAGTGACAGAGCCAGGAAAGACACAGCTTGAATTTTAGATCGCAGATGGAGTCAGCAGAGTTGGCAGCCAGAAAAGCCATCTTTTTGCTTGTGATCTGAACACAGTGGATGTGGAATCATCGAGTGGCAATAATGACAAAGCGCCATGATGCCATTTGACACTTTCTAGAACATCCCTGTCCCTTCTAACTGACAAGAAAAACCTCACTTAGTGCCACCAACTACTAAATATAACCTATTTATACCACCTAGGCTTGTTTTTTTCCGAGGACACAATCAGCTTAGTCCTGAACTCTCAAACCGGAGCAGATTCTTCAAACTTTTCAACGAGACTTACTGCAAATACAGATTAAGGGAGGTCATCTGGGACACTAACAGACTTTGCCCCCTTTTTAAAGCCCCTCTTTCAGAAATACAGCCTAGTGCTTTGTTACATACATTGAAAAGGCCTCTTTCTCCTTGACCCCAGCCCAGAAGGCTGAAGACTCCACTGCAGTGCTTACACAAAAGGCAATTTTTCTGCCAAGTGTTGTACGCACAGAAGCGCACTCACTTCCTACATCCAAGCACATTCCCAAGTAACAAGACAGAATTTTGCAAACTTCAAACAGGCTTCTAGGAGCAACATTAAAGAATGAACTACGTTTCAATGGACTTGGTTATCTCCAGGCCTCAGAGAGCGCTACGGAGCTTTTCCACATCATTAGACGTTGTTTTGCCTCTTGTGCATTTTGAAAAGAAGCCGATTCTCTTTTTTTTTTCCTCCCTCCTTTGCGCAGAGACATCATAAGTTAGGAAATTACATTTATAAACTGCAGACCCATCTAAGGGAGCAAAAACAATCACAAGGGTCACACCTACAAAAATACTGTCAAAACAGTTGGTCCAGAGGAGCACTTGGGCAGCCACCACATACAGCTTCTCATTTCTGCAGAAGTGACCAGGAATCCAAGAGATCTCAAGCCAGGAAAGCCGTCTAATCATGCCAAGAGCTGGGGAGAAACAGCTGTATTACAGATAACCTAACATACCAGCTTACTGTAAAGTTCAGAATATCTAAGACTAGATCACACGGGCTAGGAGAGCAGGTGCTCTCCCTAGAAATCCTTTTAAGTCGAGGTTACATGGATCAGAGCGCTGAGTTCTTACCAAATTCTGGGACCATTAAGTTCTTCAGTTTAAATCACACCAAGTCCAAAGATTTAAGGGAGGATTCCCACTTTCAAAGTCACTTGAACATCTCCTCAATCTCACTCCTACCTTGGAAGTTGCTCATAATTTTTACAATGCATTTCCACAGAGGTAAAATTTTATCTCAAAGGAAAAATAAGTGTCTCCATGGTGTTTTTTTAGTAAAAAGACAAACCACCATCAAAAATACCTGATATTCCACTCTACTAAATGTTTCCTATGGCCTTTCCTAAAGCAGAAAGCAAATATTTAAAGTTTGCAAATTAATTCAGCAACAGAAAGTGAGACCAAACATGAGCTGACTCATGAACACTTCACATGAGTAAGAGGTTTCAACTCTTCTGCAAGCAAGAAACACAGTGCACCACCAATTAGTATTTGGAGAGTGCTCTTACCACAGTGCCTTACTTGACCAGCCAACACAAGGGGCTGAGAGTAAGAATCCTTATGGTCACACCACACATGGGGACAATAAGCCCTTGGTTATCCAGCAAATTGTCAAGGAATAGGATTTAAAACACTCATTTGCTTCCTTTCTCCTTGAGCACAGTCGATCTTCCATCCTTCAAGAGCAGCTAAGAACAAGCTGCAGTCAGGATGAGACTTCCAGACAAGTTCCACTCTGATTTGGGTGCCAGCAACTTGGATTATTCTCGACCCACCCCAGCTATGTACTGAGGCCAGGTGGATTCCTACAAAAGCCCTGGGACCAGCCTGGTGTAGACCAGGGAGCCTCACATTGCCAAGAGCAGCTTAACACCTCCTTCCAGTCCCCCAAACCCAGGCTGGCCCTCACTGCAAGCTCTTTCCAACCTGCTTTATCAACAGCTCCTACCCCTCTCCTGCTGAGATGGATCCTTCTCCAAATGACAAGAGAAGAGTTGTCTGAACTGCAGGTGGGGCAGTTATGCATATCTCATATGCATAACTGCAACGCTAATGACCTGTGAAAGCAGTTCCCCTGAAGTACAGCTGCTTGGGGAGAAAACAAGGGAAGGCTACGTTTAAACAGGGAAATAAGTTTTTAAAATACTTCTAAGCCTTTTGAAAAACGAGCCTATGAAACTGCACACGTTGCTGAGGACAAGACTGAGCAGCAGTTAAACTCACACGTGATGCCAAGAGCCACAGACCTAGATGTAGGGGCCTCATTACTTCTGTAGGCTAGTACAGACCCAGCTAGAATTGCTAAGGAGCATCTCATCAAGAAGGGTGTAATTCTATTCACTGTCCAATAAAGGGCAATAATGAAGTGTGAATCCTACAAAATGGTCAGCTGGCAGATATCTTTACTGGTCCATTATCAGTTTCAGCCACCCATTTCCAAGCAGATGTTGGAATTGCATCTCATTTTTACATCTGCTACAATGCAGCCTCAGCAACATTGAGATTCCTAAGGGAAGCTGCAAATAAATGCATCTATTCATACTGAATATCCTAAAGAAATTACAATTAGAGGTGGAACAACTAGGACCACAGGCTAGTCGGTATTACCGGCTCACTTGAGATGGACAGATTTGAAAGATGGACAGATTTGAGAAGTTTACTTGGAATACAAAAATTACCACAATACAACTGCCAGGAGACTGGTGATAAAAAGAACAGATTTGAAAATCTGTAGCAACAATAGATGATAATTTCCAAGTCACCTGATCAGTTCCCACTTCCCAAAGGGAATTCCCTGGTGCTGAAACGTGCTAGTTTTCCTTTAGGGCTCATTCTGTAGCTCCTAGGCAAGGGATACTCGAGACTGCTGCAGGTGCATGAACAAAAGAGGTAGCATCCAAGGTCAAACTCAGCTCACTGAAAAGGTTCTTCCCTGACAACTGGGAAAACCCATTTGGTCTCTGGGGCTAAATTCCAAGCCTACAGTTATTTGAAATGAGAGGTTTGCACTAATAAACAGAATAAAACCAAAACCAAACCTAAATTGCATGCATCACAGACAACGTTCTTCCACAGCAAAACAGATCTCTCAGCCTTGCTCATTTGTAGCTCCTGCCTGATTTCCTATGACTCAGAACATACGTCTTGCATTTTTAATTTGAAAAGAAGAAAAAAACAGGCCATTTTAGCTTTCCTTGCATACTCCCCTCCACATTACTTATGCTATATTCATATACTGGAAAGCAGCCCTGTGGCTATGCAGCTGTTTGTGCTGCCCAGATAAGTGCAGGCTCCATGCAATGAGCCGCACCACTGTCAGCTTCTTATAACTCTCAAGAAATGACAATTACTGCACCCATGAACAGGCAGAGCCACCACAGTGGGAGGCCATCTCTGGAAGCTACCAGAAAGCCTTTTGTCCTTCAGAAAAATCTCTCTTCTCCTAATCAGTGCTATAGATACCACTCTCCAGTTAATATCCGTAGCTGCTCTTTCCACACACAATTCCCTTTAAATCTTTCCTGACAGAAGCTCCAGGATGATGGCTGTGACAAGCACAGTAAAGGTGATACTGGTAGCAGATCTAAACCTTAACATTTAACCTAAATATTCCCTACATCTGGGTTCCTAGTTATGGACTGACAAGGAAAAGCACCTCCCAACAAGGCTGCAAGCCAGAGCTCAGCTCTGCTCCTCCCAGGTGACAGCCCCATTTTGGTACCTCCATGCTTCTCTCCGTACTGTTTCCTGACTGTTACAGACACTCATCTGAACCAGTCCTAGAACAACAGGAATTTCCTGGTTCCTGTGTGGCAATTTTACACACGGTACTCCTAGAATGTGCAGTATTTTTTATTTCCCTCCTGAAAAGCACAGGCACATGCTCTGCCCTTGCCACCACTACAGCCTTATCTTCCTCTCATCTGCAGGTTACCTGGGGCAGGATCTACAAGTCTCTTCACATGGGCAGACACACACTGGATGCAAGGGTTTCATTTGGTCAAGCTCCACTTCCAGAATACATGTCTCTTGTTCCCGTCTTTAAAAAAAAAAAGACATAACATTAATATATTGAAAATACCTGACAAATTAGGTGGCAGAAGGACAAAGTGTCCTACAGAAGTCATAGAAAAAGGAACCTCCTCGTAGCACTCTTCTTCTGGACGTAGGGATTATAAAAATAGAAGTGTTTATTCAAATAAAGCTGCAAAGTAACATACTGAGTGCAAAGCAGGACAGAAGATGTCAGCCACAGAAACGAGCAAGTCACTGTCTGGATTAACAAGCCAGAAAACTGCAGTAAGCTCTCGAGACTGGCAGATTTTTCATGTTACTCAAGACCACCCCAGGAATGACAATGCACAGAACACCAAAACGCATCGAGGAAAAAATAAATGATTTTACAACTCCTGGCACAGCAGGGCTAGAGCAAAAAGCAACCTCGACTGCAGTGGACAGCTGCACTGCTGCTGCCATCTCCTGGAAGCCTTGCCAGAAAGGAGGCCTGCAGCTAAACCAAGCCAAGCAGATTGTTTTGGGGAACTGCTGGGTCATTCCTTCTTCTTTTTAATGCAAAGACATCAGAGGCTAAGACCTTACCTTCCCTCCTGTGGCACAGGAATAACCTTGCCCAGCTTCTTCCCACCTGTTACCTCTTTCTGCCCAGCTGTATCACTTAACTAGAAAGATAAGGAAAAAGAATTAACATCTAACAAAAACAAGTCTTGTTACAACGCACACAAAGCTTTCTTCTGCTTTAAAAGCCTTTGCTTACTGTGTAAAAGGGCACTTGTGTGCACTTGCACATTACTACCAAGCCCTCAAGTCCAAATCAAAAGTACTAGACTTAAAAATGCTCTAGCTGGAATTAAAATTGGTGTTTACTTTAATGCTGTCTGATGGTCGTTCAGCTTCTGAAGATCCCTGCTCCCCGTCATTCTTTGAGAGGTCAGATTTCCCTGAAAAGCTGCAGTTTGTTGCTTCGGAAAGATCAGGGTGTTGGGGTTCAGGAGACATGTCCAGCATAGCTGAGCTCTCATGAGCTTTACTCTGGTCACAGGCAGAGTCAGAAGAGAGCAGGGAAGTTTCTGCAGGACCATCACGGAAGTCAGTCATCTCTCTGCTCACAAATGCAGTTTTTCCCACGGGATCCATGCCCAGGCTACGCTGCCCTTTAGGCATCAGCCATTCTAAAGGTTCTCCAAGAAATAAGTTACTAGTATTCATTTTATCATATCCTAGGCAATCACTTATCGTTTGGGAGATTTCTCTTTCGGTTTCTTCCAAATAACTCTCCTCCAGAGGCTGATCTACATAGTCAGCATCAATTGGGCTAAGATTGAGAAGCTCCTGAATATCAAGGTCAAACAACATGCCAGTTACTTCGGCTGACTGCACATCATTCACATTTGAATTAGTTGTTTCATTTGCACGGGCAGGATAATACTCTGGCTCAAGTGAAGAACACACCCTAGCCAGAGGTATATTTGGTTTCTTTGAGATCTTTGATGCTACCTTTACATCTTCACTGATGACCGATGCCCCAGTGCAGCTGCTGCTCACAGCCTTTTCACTCTCTCCATTTACATTTTGGCTCACAGGGCTTTTTCTAGTTGTATACTGCTCAGATCCTAAGCAATCATCTGCCAAGATTTCCTGGATCTCTTCCTCAGTGTAATTGAAGGGAGAATTCCCTTGTTCACTGTCTGACAGTTCCAACAAGGAGTCGTCTGGCTCACTATCTTCAAAACATCTGCTGGTATCTAGAGAAATGGCTACATCATCGTACTTTGACCGAGAAGAACCGGCAACGAGCTCATCAGGGTCAGTATCATCCAGAAAAAGGGAGGATTCTTGAAAGGAGGAAGACTCTGGGGAAGAGAGCAGCAGCTTCTCTGATGGACATGGAAAGATACAGTGATGACTCAACACACAGGCTTTCTTAGCTGCCTGCAGCACCTGGGCATCCCTGGAGGAATAACAGGGCCTTTTGGCCCTAGGAACCGTATTATTAACAGCAGGTTTAAATTCATGAAAGCGACAGAGCTCAAAGGTCTGAGGGGAATGGTCATCCATGTTGCTGTTGGTCCCTCTATGCAAGTGACCCCTGTGCCTTCTGCATGAAGCTCTAGAAGCACCTTCTGAAGCTCAGCTGATCCCAGGGCCACTTTAATAAGCACGTTCAGAAAGGAAAGCAGCAGAATCCGCTCCAACCTGCCTGTAAAAGACAACATCTTAAACAAGGGGCTCAGCCATTTGCCAGTGCAGCAGCAACACAATCGGGAAAGCAGTAATAGCTCAGGCAAAAGCAGACAAGCCTCTCTTGGCTAGCCAATATAAATGCTGGGTTTTCCTTTCATGCAGAACATCCAGCATCCTGCTGGAATGAAGCACATTAGCATTACCAACACCACTCACTCCAGAAATTAATGGATTAAAGACATAATTAGACATCTGCTTGCAAAACAGTTATAGCTACTTAAGAATACTAACTTTCAACCAACACACTAAGAGTCCACCCATCATTTAACATGATTTCACAAGTAAATCTGTGGAAAAATAAAAAAGCAAAACCCCACTCATTGCAATAGCTCTACTGCTCATTAAATTAAAAGCTTCCTCATACAAAAGAGCCAGTACTTACCTGTCTGCTTATGGATCTAACACTAGCCCTGTCCAGTCTCTATGACCTCTACTCCACATCATTTTAGCATTAACTTAATTAATCTTGTTAATTAACATTAACAAGATAAAACAGTAACTTCCTTCTTATTTCCCAAGTTTCCTCCTACACAAGGTTGTTCAGCATGTTTTATCAGCAGGATTAATACCTGCACCCATCACTAACAGCCTGGGCTCTCTCCTCTGAAGCTGATTATATAAATCATTGTAACACCTGAGAGCAACACTCACTACTTACATTCTTTACCAGCACCCATTTAAAGTAATGGGACATTCTCTAGGTATTAAGTAAAGTCTCACAAACCCTTCCTTTGCCCCAGCCCCTCTTCACCTACCATTTTTCAAAGAAACTACACAAATAGTCTTTTTCTGGTTAGGAAAAACTGAGCAATGGAAAATTAACTCTGCCAAGGAGCCAAGAGGACGTTCGGTAGCATATTACAGTCATAAAAGCACTCGTACAAAATGCATCTTATAAGGAAAGGGCAAAAGATAAAAACCTTCCTGTAAAATCAAACAGCTTAAAATATCCACAAACAAAACCTGCTTTTATATCAGCAAGAATTCACACCAAAATTAATCTTCTGACTTGAAAGCGCTGTGTTTGAGTCTGAAGCAGCAGGAGAATCTGGACTTTCCTTTCTTCTTTGGCCAACTGATTTAAAGGAATATCTTTTGTCTTTCCATTGGTTTGGCTACCTACTGCCTTCAAAAAGGAGATTCACCCACTCCAGAAGGGAAAATCAGGCAGCTCTGCTTCTTTCTCTTATTATTCTGTCTGCATAGTAGAAAACCACCGCTTTCAAAATGATGCTCTACCCACAGAGGAGGAGGAAAATACCTCAGGAATCAGCTCTACCCTTACAGAAACTTACACAAAAACAGAAAAGTTTCAAACACTCCTGAGGAGTGATGACCTGCCTGGAGTTTTGCAATTTAACTACAGGTGCTTCAGGAATTCCAAGAGAAACAAAAGGAAAATGAAAATAAACACTCGTGAGCCCACAGGGTACAGCAGTGTGATGTTCTAGGCCCTAACAATAAGAACCTGGCACAGAAGTGAGAGTTTTGAGGCTTTTCGCTGGTCCTGCCTCTGCAGCGTGTTCGGAGCCGTCCCCACGCTCAGGCGCAGATCCAGCAACGGTGCTTGTAGTGCCAGCAACTTACCTGGACCTTCCCAACTCACCTGGACCTTCCCGACTCTGCGCAGCCTCATCCCAAGTGGCTCCGGAAGCAGAACACGGGCAACAATGTTCCTGGTGACACACGAGGCCGGACAGAACCTCCGCTGCTTCCCATGGCCGTGGCCACTCCACAAGGGACAAACGGGAGGGTTAGAAGCCAGAACTGACGAAACTGAGAATGAAGGAGAAGAAAACAGGTTGGGTTACAGGGCTGCTTAAGGATTTGCATTAGAGCAACACTTTGCTGCGGTTGAAATGGCCATAAACCTGCACAGGACGAGGCTGCCGGCACCTCGTCCTGGTCTCGCTCCAGCACCTGCATGGCCAATGAGCCAGAAAGGCAGCACAATAGGGTTCCCCCCCGCAATTTTAGGAGATTTTGCCATCCTTAAGGACAACTCCATCCTTAAGGGCATGGGGATCCTGCTTGACACAGGGACACAAACCACAGGATAACAGCAGCCTCTCCCATGAGACTCCCACCACACAGGCCATCTTAATGGAAAAGCAAAGCCTTGGGATAGGGAAGGGCGATTTCCACAGGGTGGGAAGGAGGGCTGGCATTTCCCCGGCGGCTGCTGCCTCCTGCCCTGCGCGGCCCTGGGGAAACACAGGCTTCACCCCCACGCCGCCCTCGCTCCGCGCTCCGCTCCAGGGCCTGAGCAGCCCCCAAGGGCGGGCAACGGAAGAATAAAATTGAAACCAACTTTAAAAATAACAGCAGCAACGAAAATAAAAGAAAAATAAATAATAATGGTAAAAATAAATAAAAAACAAAATAAATCAAAAAAACAAAGCACACACACACTGAAATAAAATGGTAAATAAATAGAATAACCAGGCGAGGTCCAGCCCTGCTCCGTGGGTCACGGGCAAACCGGGAGCAGCAACTGCCCGACCTCACCCCATGGCCACGCACCGCCCGCGCCCACCCACCCGCCGCCATTTTACCGGCGCGGGCGGCCGCGCAGGGCGCGCTCTCATTGGCGGAGCGCGGCCCCGCCCCTAACGACCCCGCCCCTGACGGCCCTGCCCCTAACGGCCGCGCCCGCGCGCCCCGCCCTGCTCCCCATCCATCATCTCGGCGCTCGGCTTCCCCCCCCCCCCCCCACGCGCGCACACTCTTCATTGAAGGAAGTGACGCCCAGGCTGGGTAGGCGAGCGCCGAGCGGAGCTGATGCAACCGGGGGACGGTCGGTTGCGGCGCGGGGCGGCGGGAACGGGGCCGGGGTGGGGCGGGGGGGGGGATCCGCCGCGGGGGCTCGGGGTGCCCCTCAGGGAGCGGCCCCGGGGCGGCCGAGCCCTCTTCCCCGGTGACGGTGCCTCGTTGCCCGCAGCCGCCGCCATGGAGGCCGCGCCCGGCCCGCAGGAGAAGTATCAGCTCGTCACGCGCAACCTGCAGGTACCGGCGGGCCGGGGCTCGCGGGCTCCGCGAGGGGGGTCCCCGGGCCCGGGGGCTGCTCGGGCCCGGCCCGGTCGCTCCCGCGGTGCCCTCAGCCCCGCGCCCTTGGCAGGAGGTGCTGGGCGAGGAGAAGCTGGCGTCCATCCTGAAGGAGCGGGAGCTGAGGATCTACTGGGGCACGGCCACCACGGGCAAGCCGCACGTGGCCTACTTCGTGCCCATGTCCAAGATCGCGGACTTCCTGAAGGCGGGATGTGAGGTACGGAGCCGGAGCTGGAGCCCGGGGCATCGCTGCCCGCAGGGCTGCAGGTCCCACGGGCCGCCGGGCCCCACGGTGACGGTCCCTTGTGTCTGCGCCAGGTGACGATTCTCTTCGCTGATCTCCACGCTTACCTAGACAACATGAAGGCGCCCTGGGAGCTGCTGGAGCTGCGCACCCGCTACTACGAGCACGTGATCAAGGCCATGCTGGAGAGCATCGGAGTGCCCCTGGAGAAGCTCAAGTTTGTCCGGGGCACCGACTACCAGCTCAGCAAGTGAGTCCGGGGGACGCCTGAGGAGGAAGAGCCTCGCGCGGGGCTCTGAGGTTGCACCTCTGCTCGTGGGAGAGGACGGCAACGTGTCGCACGGTGATATCACAGCTGTGATATCCGTCAGTGTCACCCTGATGTTGCTCAGGGAACGCAGCGCGGGTGTCTCCGGGTTCCTCACTGCGTATCCGGAGGAACTTTTATCCCACGCGGGGAGCCGCGTGGCGGCTGCGGTGCTAACGGTGCCGCCGCCACGCAGGGAGTACACGCTGGACGTGTACCGCCTCTCCTCCGTGGTCACGCAGCACGACGCCAAGAAGGCGGGCGCCGAGGTGGTGAAGCAGCTGGAGCACCCCTTGCTCAGCGGCCTGCTCTACCCGGGCCTGCAGGTGGGTAGCGAGGGTGGGCAGAGCCCCCCCGGCGCCTGGCACACGTGAGGCTGCTCTGCCGAGGTTGTTACGCCGCCGCGGGCATCCCTGCTGTGCTGGGCAGCGGCACAAGGCTCGGCTCCAAAGCTCGGCTCTTGCAGCAGCTCTTGGGGGCTGCAGTGCTGCCCCGGGCAGGGCCTGTGGGACGGGCAGCGTCTCCCTGGGCAGCCGGGAGCCTGGGGCAGGCTCGAGGCCGGCTCCGCGTCTCCCCGCAGGCCCTGGACGAGGAGTACCTCAAGGTCGACGCGCAGTTCGGAGGAGTGGATCAGAGGAAGATTTTCACCTTTGCGGAGAAGGTCAGGAGGGAGGGTTGGTCCTGAACCTGCTGCAATGCCGGAGCCTGGCGTAGCAAGCAGGGATTGGGGGTTAAATCTGCCCTCTGGAAGATCTCCCGTCACCCGTCTGCTTGTTTTTCCCCAGTATCTTCCCTCTCTGGGCTATGCCAAGCGCATCCACTTGATGAACCCGATGGTTCCTGGTCTAACAGGCGGCAAAATGAGCTCGTCAGAAGAGGTTGGTCCCTGCATGGTGGCTGCGATGGGGGACCCTGCAAAGCGAAGGGGGTTGGGGCTGGGAGAGAAGGTGCCTTCTTCTGGACAAGAGGTTGAAAGAAGGGTGGGCGTCCCCAGGCTGCCTGGGAAGTAGTTCTCTTGTGGATGGGATGGGGAAACATAAAGCCCTTCAGCTTCACGTTGTGATTGACTGGGTGCTTTGAGGAGCTGCCTGCACAGCTCAACTCCAGGGAATCCTTTCCTCCAGGAATCAAAGATCGACCTCCTAGACCGCAAGGAGGATGTAAAAAAGAAGCTGAAGAAGGCCTTCTGTGAGCCAGGAAATGTGGAGAACAATGGTGTCCTCTCCTTCATCAAACATGTCCTCTTTCCTCTGAAGTCAGGTGAGGGGCTCCCCACACTTGGTGCTGGGGCTTGTCTTTCCCGAGGATGGGAATTGTGTCCCCTGGAGCAGCCTGTCCCCTGCGGGTCCCCTGCCTGGCACAGGGCCCAGTGGCTTTGCAGTCCCCTCTGCTCCTGGGCAAAGCAGGGTGGTTTATCTGGCTGAGCTCATCTCTGCTTGGCTTAATCTGAGCCTTAAAATCTCCACGTCACAGAGTTTGTGATTCTGCGAGAAGAAAAATGGGGCGGAAACAAAACCTACACAGCCTACGAAGCCCTGGAGAAGGACTTTGCTGAGCAGGTGAGTGCTCAGCAGGGAGTCACCTGCACCAGGTGTCCTCCCTGGGTTTGTCTCCTCTCCAGAGAGAGTCCCCCATAGCCTTTGTGGCTGGCACCCTCACTCAGACTTCTAGGCCCTCTCCTGCTGCCCCTGAGACACCCATAGGTCTAACCAAGCCCCGGCACTGGAAACTGCCTCCCACTTCCAGGCGAGGGCTCTCTTGCCAGAGGAGGTGCTTTAATCTTGCTCTGGGAAAAATGCCAAGGCCTGGTTCTGTCGGAGCCGAGCCGGGAGATCACAGCACCTCCCTGGCCGTAGATCAGTGAATCTCGTTCTGCTACTCCCCTCTGCCCTGGAGGAAACCATCCATCAATCCATCTTTTTGTCCCACTACAGGTCGTTCATCCCGGGGACCTAAAGAACTCGGTGGAAGTGGCCCTGAACAAACTGCTTGACCCCATCAGAGAGAAATTCAACAACCCGGAGCTGAAGAAGCTGAGCAGTGCCGCCTATCCCGACCCATCCAGAGCCAGTATGGAGGGGCTAGGAGTCAAGGAAAGGGGGTTCTGGAGCACCCAGAGCCAGGCAGAGAAATGCCTCTAGGGGCTGAGGGTCTGGAGCCTGACTGTCGGGAGCAGCCGCTGTGTCTGGCGCGGCGCGCGCTCCTCTGCTTGGCTGGTGGCTGTCAGGTTTGATCACGTCTGAGCAGTAGCGGAGTGAGGAAAGGCCAGTGCGAGGGCTGCCTGCAGGCCCTGCAGAGGACACATGCCAGCACGTGCTTCTGCCACTGCCTGAGATAAGGGAACAGGGAGGAGGGACTGTCTGCTCTGTGTCACCGAGACCACTTGGCAGGGCCCAGATTCTGCATTTGGGGGTCCTTGTGGGCTCCCTGGGGCTTGGCTGGGGGCCTGCATTCAGTCACAACTGCTGCCTTTGCACTGCAGAGCACGCAGAGAAGGGCACCAAGAACTCGGAGCCGGAGAATGTGGTCCCATCCCGGCTAGACATCCGCGTTGGCAAAGTGATCAGCGTGGAAAAGGTAGGGACATAAAGAAATAACCTTCCCGCAGGGTGACGTTGGCATTTGGTGGACATGTGGGGTTGCCCCCTTCCTCTCTGTTATCCCACCCACATTCCTGCTTACCTGCTGAGGGAACCTTTGCTTCTGCTCGGCAGCATCCGGACGCGGACAGCCTGTATGTGGAGCAGATCGACGTGGGCGAGCCCGAGCCCCGCACCGTGGTCAGCGGCCTTGTGCAGTTCGTCCCCAAGGAGCAGCTGCAGGACAGGCTTGTGGTGCTGCTCTGCAACCTCAAGCCCCAGAAGATGAGGGGTGTGGAGTCGCAGGGCATGGTGCTGTGCGCTTCCAGGTGAGCGCCAGGGCGCAGGGACACACGGTGATCCCGGCGGCTCCCCCAGCTCCGGATGCGCTGGGGCCGTGTGGATGCAGCCTCGGGGTGCCTCAGCTCCCCGCTTGCCCTCGGCAGTGTCGGGGAGCCGCGGCAGGTGGAGCCCCTGGACCCGCCGGCCGGGAGCTGCGCTGGCGAGCGCGTCTACGTGGAGGGCTACGAGGGCGGCGAGCCCGACGACGAGCTCAAGCCCAAGAAGAAGGTCTTTGAGAAGCTGCAGGTGAGGGCGGCGCCCGGCGCCGAATCCCAGCGGCTCCAGGAGTGGAGCAGGGCAGCGCGTGGGAGCAGCTGGGCCTTGCTGCATCCCCGCAGTGTCACTGCTCCAGCTGCTGCCATCCTGGCCCTGTTGAAGCTGGGCAGATGAGGAGATGACCCCCCAACAGGCTCTGGATGCTGAGGGGAGGCGCTGCCGCCCCACGGGCAGCCCCGGTCCCCATGGTCCAGCCCTGACCCCGTGTCTCTCCCCTCTGCTCCCCAGGCCGACTTCCGCATCTCCCAGGACTGCGTGGCCCAGTGGAAGCAGAGGAACTTCCTGACCAAGCTGGGGAGCATCTCGTGCAAAACGCTGAAGGGGGGGAGCATCGGCTAAGGGGCGTCGGGGCCGCCGCTCGCGCCTCCCGCCGGGTCCCTGCGCTGCCCCAGCCAGGCTGCCCTCCCTGGCCTGCCACGTCCCTGCTCACACAGCGCCCTGAGCAGGGGGCTCGGCCCTGAGGGACCCAGCGGGGCGAGGGCTGCATTTGTGACCCCCCTCCCAACCCCTTGCAAGACGGCGAGGCCGCCTCGGGAGCCGCCTTCGCCACCCCTCGCCCTGGGCCTGCTCTGGGGGAACCCCTGTTCTGGAGACTTGGGGTGTCACCACGGCTGAGGGAGCTGTGTGACACGTGCTCCGTGTCCCCAAGCTCCTGCCATTCCTGCCTCGGGGACAGGGCTGCGGGGGGAAGCAAGGAGGGTCAAAAGGGAAGGCCGCTTGCTTGAACTTGTGTTGCTGCTAACGGGGCTGGGGGCGACTGCCTGGCACCCCCTGCCCACCCAGGCCAGGCCGCTGCTCGTGCTGCTCCTGGGCCAGGAGCCCCTGGTTCTGCAGCAGCTCTGTCCTGAGCCTGGGGGCCGCGGGGGGCACGAGCCCCCAACGCCACTCGGGAACCATCTGTCATGAACCCAAATAAAGTGTCCAATGGACTGCACCGCGTTGTGCCCTTCCCTCCCTGCTGCTGGGAAGAGCCAAAGGCCGCGCGCGATCCGTGCCCGGGCAGCGAGGCCAGCGGCTGCCCCGGCCCCCGGCACAGCCGGCGCGCGCGGCAGGAAGCACAGGAGGCACCGAGCTTTGGTCATCATCTTTACCAGCCAGGTACAGAGCTCTGAGCAGCTACTCGGCGGCAGAGGGTTGGTGGTTGCTTTTTTTTTTCTTTTTTTTTTTTTTTTAAGTTTTTTCTGTCTTTTTTCCTTTTTTTCTTTTTTCTTAAAACAATCAAAGAAATCAAAATGACCCGAGGTTACCAGAAACACGAGGCTGGAGGCCAAGGCCTCGCCCCGCGCTCGGGGGGCTGCCAGGCTGCCCCCGGCATGGTCCCTGCCGCCCGGAGCCCCCGGGGCTCCGCATGGGGCCAGGGCAAGGGCAGTGCCCGGAGCCCGAGCACCGGCCAAAACCCCTGGCCCCTGCGGGCACCGCGCGCCGGGCAGCGCTCCCGGTTGGAATCGGCTCCTCCGCACATCCCACCAGGAGCAGCCAAGGCTCCGCTTCACCGCGGAAGTCTTCCAGTTTCCTCATCCAAAGTGCTTTGATTCCTGCGTGTCTGTCCGGGAAGCCGAGGGCTGCGCGTCCTCCCGTGTCCTCGCGCTCCCGCTCCGCACGCGCACACCACACCGAGCACAGGCCTCGGGTCCAATAAAAAATAATGCAAAATAAAGCTGTAGTACTTAGGAAAGTAAAACCAACACCATTTTTGCATAAATATCATCAAGGCCATGGAGGCTAAGGCTGTTTGCTTCCTGTATTAAGTTAGTCGCCAGTTCCACGCTCGGCTGTAGACCTGCCCAGGTCCCTGAGAGATTTGGATTCCCGGCGGCGGGGGCACCAGTCCGGCAGCTTCCTCCTTCAAACCGTCTCTCCACGTTTGTCTGCAAGGTGAGAGGGAAGAGCCCATCAACGCTCCGGGATCTCCCATAGCAAACATGGCACAGCCGGCCCAGTGCCCCCCAACCCGATGCGGGCCACGCGTGGGCTCGTCTCACCCCACTGGATGCCCCCCAGCCTGGGCACCAGCCCTGGCCCCATCACAGTGTCCAAGGAGCCCCCCAAAACGCAACGGAGCAGGATTGGGATGGGGGTGACCCCAAGGTCCCGGGGGCGCCGTCCCCACGTACCTTGCGCAGGGGGGCTCCGTGCCGGCGTCTCTGCGGCGGTGCCGCCCTCGGCGCCGGCCGCCTCGCTCCGCGTCCTGCTCTCTCCCGCTGGGAACGGCTTGGGCTTCCCATCCGGCAGCGGAGCGCCCGGCGCCTCCGTCCCCTTGGGGCTCAGCGGCGCCGGCCCCGGGCCCAGCGAGGGCTTCTTGGCTACCGGCGGCGGGATCTTGGCGGGCTTGGGGGCCGCCTGCGGCTTGCCGGGGGCCGGAGCGGCCGCACGCTGCCCCGAGAAACTCATGAGCTCGGCCACCAGGTTCCTCTTGAGGTCGGCCTGCGCCTCGGGCGACGAGGGCGTCTCGATCACCAGCTTCTTGGGGCTCTTGGCGAAGATGAAGCTGGCGGTGGAGGCCGTCGACTTCTGCGCCGGGGAGAGCCGCCCGTCCCCGCCGGGGGCTCCGGTCGCGGCGGCTCGGAGGTCCCGCGGGGGAGAGGGCTGCCGCGTGGACAGGGCCCGGCGCGCGGGCTTCTGCGGCGGCGCGCGCTCGCGGGTGCCCGCGGCCGGCTCCACGCTCACCGAGCGCAGCCGCACCATCTGCAGCAGCGACGGCGTGACGATGGGCAGGCTCGCGTCCTCCTTGGGCGCCGCGCCGCCCTTGCTCCGCGCCGGCGCCACCGACTCCTTGGGCTCCACGCGCGAGCCGTTGGCCACCGCTTTCTTGAAGGTGTTTGGTGTCGATGGAGCCGGGGGTGGCGGGAGCGGTGGAGCGGGTGGCACAACCGGGCTGGGAGCTTGTCCTGGTTCTGCGGCGGGAGCCGGCAGTGCCGTCCCGGCCGGTGGGTCCTGCTGCTGGACGCAGGAGACTGTGGACGAGGATGATGGAGTTGGCGGCTCCTTCCCAGGGCTCGGCGGCCGCTTCTGCCCGGCTGGCGGCTCCGGCAGTGCATCCCGGCCGAGAGGCGCCGGCTGGGGCTCCGGCAGGGGCAGGCTGGAGAAATCCGCCTCATCCGGAGGGGGAAAGTCCGCCATGGACAAGTCCTGCTCCTCGGGAGCCGGCGGAGGCGGCGGGGGCCACACGGCGTCAGCGGGGGCATCGCCGGCGCGCTCCGGGCTGCCCTCGGCCCTCTTGGCCGGCGGCGGTGGCGGCTGGTGGGCGGGCGGCGGTGACGGCGGCGGGGACCTGTCCGGAGCTTTGGCTGGCGCTGGCGGCTCCCGGGGCTCCGGAGAGGCGGCCGGGGGGCCGGCGGGCGGCCGGGGCTTGGCGGGCGGAGGGGAGAAGGGCGCTGGCACCTTGGGGTGCGGCGGGATGGCGAAGCGCTCCGAGCGGCCCTCGGGCTCCGAGGCCGAGGAGGAGATGGAGGTGAGCGAGGAGGAGCCCGAGAGCGCCGGCGAGCGCAGGGAGCAGCCCCGCTCGGGGCCCTTCTGAGCGCAGCCCGGCGAGGCGGCAGCGGGGCCCAGCGCCCGGGCCGGCAGCGTGGGCGTCCCGCTCTGGCTGGAGTAGCCGCTCGAGGGGGACATGGTGCGGTCGGGGGCGTCGGGGCAGCCCCAGCGCGGCGGCGCCGGGGGCTCCCGCAGCGCCG